TTTTCTGACTGTTTTTCACTCGTTTTGCATTTGGCTAGGGTCAGTCTCACTACTGGTAGCATGAGGCCATACCTGGACCCTACAGAGGTTGCACAGGCAGTCCAACTCCTCCAGGATGGCACATCAATACGTACCATTGCCAGGAGGTTTGCTGTGTCTCCCAGCACAGTCTCAGGAGCATGGAGGAGATTCCAGGAGACAGGCAGTTCCTCTAGGAGAGCTGGACAGGGCCATAGAAGGTCCTTAACCCATCAACAGGACTGGTATCTGCTCCTTTGTGCAGGGAGGAACAGGATGAGCACTGCCAGAGCCCTACAAAATGACCTCCAGCAGGCCACTGGTGTGAATGTCTCTGACCAAACAATCAGGAACAGAATTCATGAGGGTGGCCTGAGGGCCCGGCGTCCTCTAGTGGGCGCTGCCCTCACTGCCCGGTTGGATATAAGTGGATTGCAAAAGGCCTTGTAGGCCAGGTTGGAAATCTCTGTGTCAGGCTGCTTCCCTTGAGGGGTCCAAGGAGAGTGGTACCCAGCTAGGAGATGTCTACAGAGAGCACAGTCCTGTGAGTAGATATGACCCCGGGTAGAGGAGAGACTGTAGGGGAGATGGCTGCTGAGGTGCTGTATGTGCTTTCACCTGAGACTACTGCAGATCATCCACTATAGGTGATTGACTGTGTATGTCAAGTGACTCTGGAAATGTATGTCCTTGTGATGTGACTGTCTTGCCATTCCCTGAATAACACCAGTAAAGTGCAGTGAAGTTACTAATTGTGTGGACATTCCTTTCCTTGGATATAAAGGTCTGTTGCCTGGGATGTTGTGAGGAGGCCTATGGCATGGAGAAGGACAAAAGATGGAGGAAGGTTCAGCCTCAGCAGGAGAGACAGTGTTCTAGCAGGGCTGGAGCGGGGGCAGGGACTTGTGCTTGGCACCAAATCTAGCCAACCACAAAGCCCCCCTTTCACACAGATATGCCATAGGGTTCTGCCCAGCCTTTGGGACCAGGCAGAGACCTTCTGTACATCTGTGCACATTTGGGCATGCGTGAAGACACCGTAATTATGGGGCCCACGGATCTCAGGTTGTCTGCGTATGTATGGGGGAACATGGCACGTGCCCAATGTTGCTGTATCTCCACCAGGTTCTGAAGGCACACCTCCACACATGTCTGATTTTCAAAGATGGTGGTACTAATGAGGAGGGCAAGGCCCTCCTCATTAAGCGCCGCAACATTGTATTTAGCCCTCGGGCTGACATATCCTTTTAACCGTCCTACATGCATTTTGTTTCTTGACAAAATGTTTGCTGGAAATCCATCAATTCAGTCCATACAAAGGGAAAGACAGCCTCTTCTCTGACTTGCCGCAGCTGTTTGAGTAGGTGTAGCATCTCAAGAACCTTCCAGGGACCTTGCAATTTTCACACAACCGGCTTAATAAATACATTTTTCATGAAGATGTCCTCTGGGAGCCTTCACCCCAAAAAACTTGGCTCAAACCCCCTCCCTTTCCCACAATTACATTTTTTTTACTTCTTTGTGCCTAGGTGAGAATAACGGCGCACTCCTGGCACCCAATTCCATGTGTGCATGGATATGCCAAAGTGTTCTGCCCAACCTTTGGGACCTGACAGAGACCTTCCGAGTATCTGTGGCTGTTTGGATGTGCATGAAAATGTCGTAATCATGGGATCTCTGGATCTCTGGTTGTCTGTGTATGCACAAGGAAACTTGGCACATGTGCTGCATCTCTACCAGGTTCCAAAGGCACACCTCCACACATGTCTGATTTTCAAAGATGGTGGTGCCAGTGAGGAGAGTTTGGCCAGCATTATGGGACAGAAGATGCTCATTAATCAGTCAAGTGCCGCAACATTGTATTTAGCCCTCGGGCTGACATATCCTTTTAACCGCCTCCTACATGCATTTTGTTTCTTGACAAAATGTTTGCTGGAAATCCATCAATTCAGTCCATACAAAGAGAAAGACAGCCTCTTCTCTGACTTGCCGCAGCTGTTTGAGTAGGTGTAGCATCTCAAGAACCTTCCAGGGACCTTGCAATTTTCACACAACCGGCTTAATAAATACATTTTTCATGAAGATGTCCTCTGGGAGCCTTCACCCCAAACAACTTGGCTCAAACCCCCTCCCTTTCCCACAATTACATTTTTTTTACTTCTTTGTGCCTAGGTGAGAATAACGGCGCACTCCTGGCACCCAATTCCATGTGTGCATGGATATGCCAAAGTGTTCTGCCCAAGCTTTGGGACCTGACAGAGACCTTCCGAGTATCTATGGCTGTTTGGATGTGCATGAAAATGTCATAATCATGGGATCCCTGGATCTCAGGTTGTCTGTGTATGCACAGGGAAACTTGGCACATGTGCTGCATCTCTACCAGGTTCCAAAGGCACACCTCCACACATGTCTGATTGTCAAAGATGGTGGTGCCAGTGAGGAGAGTTTGACCAGCATTATGGGACAGAAGATGCTCATTAATCAGTCAAGTGCCGCAACATTGTATTTAGCCCTCGGGCTGAGGTTTCCTTTTAACTGTCTCCCACATGCACATTGTTTTTTGACAAAACATTTGATGGAAACCCATCAATTCAGCCCATACAAAGGGAAAGACAGCCTCTCCTTTGTCTTGCCGCCTCTCCCATAAGCCCCGTCGCAGCTGTTTGAGTAGGTGTAGCATCTCAAGAACCTTCCGGGAACCCTGCAATTTTCGCACAACCGGCTTAATAAATACATTTTTCACAGCTCCATGAAGACGTCCTCCAGGGAGCCATTTTGAATTGCGTCTGAACGGCACCCAAGAACTCCTTGAACCAACAGGAACCTACTCTTTTGCCTACCGACGTCGGTCTGCGAAGAAGCCCAGGCAGAGCCGGGCGTCAGAAAGAGTTAAAGGAAAAGAGATAAAACCAGATATGTGTAGCCTCCAGACGTCCATTAAAAGAGCGCAATGCTGTTTCCTATCACAGATTATATGCCAGATGTTCAAACTATCTCTAATCATTGCAGATGTAATGGACTAGAATGTTGCAGTTTATGAGTTTACTGGCATTAATTCTATATGCTGCACCAGGGAAAAAAGATTTTAAATATATAATTATACCTCATTAATACTCAGGTTTTATTTCCTTTCAGCGGAACAAGACTTATTAAGGCGTACATTCGCCGCATATTTTTTTTTTTTTTTCTGAGACTTGGCTGCCAGATCGTCTATTGTGCCTCGACGATGACAGTCATCGGTTGACGTAGCGCCGGTGAAACGGTGCATGGGACCTGATGGCCAATTAAAAGCCAAGGTTAGGAGACGGAGTGGAGAGGGGGTTAACGCTTTTCTAAATGACTAGCTGCTGGCCATCAAAAAGACAGAAGGAAGACTGAACTGTGGTATTACAATAGATCCTGACCTTTTTACGTTCCAGATGTGCTGAACATATGACGGGGAGATCGGAGGAGGATATTGCACACCAGAGGCCTTCTGTCCAGCGGATGTCACTGTTAGTATGCTGGCAATGGAGCTCCGATTGTTACTTTCTGGCAGAGAAGAGCTGCCGCTGCAGCAGGCAAGAGTCATAAAAATTCAGGATTGAAGAGCTGCAGTACATTTAAAATAGGGGGTTCTTCTGCACCCACAGATTAATACAATTGTTCTGAGGGCATCCTAAAGGGTTAGTTAACCCAAAATTGATTTATCTACAGGTAGAACTTGCTGGGTTGAGTCAGCCTTTGTTTTTTTCAAAGGTCAACCCCCGAAGGTGAGATCTCCACGCTGTATTTCTTAACTCTGTTACTGTCCACCTGTGGGTTAGGGTGTTTCACCCACATCTGTATGTTCTACCTCAACCCAAAAAACCAGTAGGGATAGTTGGAACCATTTATAATGGGCACAGAAGGTGTGCAGACTCAGGGACTTAGCACAGGGTTGGTGGAAACCAGGGGCGGACTGACAACTCATGGAGCCCCCCGGGCAATAGGGGATCATGGGGCTCCTGTGTCCTCGCCCACACTCAAACCACACCCAAAAAAGCCTATGAAAGGTACCAGGGGCATCTCATGGGGCCCGAGTTCCCAAATGGTCGGTCTGCCCCTGGTGGTAACCATTTATAATGGGCACAGAAGGTGTGCAGACTCAGGGACTTAGCACAGGGTTGGTGGTAACCAAGGGCGGACTGACAACTCATGGGGCCCCCGGGCAATAGGGGATCATGGGGCCCCTGTGTCCTCGCCCACACTCAAACCACACCCAAAAAAGCCTATGAAAGGTACCAGGGGCATCTCATGGGGCCCAAGTTCCCAAATGGTCGGTCCGCCCCTGGTGGTAACCATTTATAATGGGCACAGAAGGTGTGCAGATTCAGGGACTGAGCACAGGAATGGTGGAAGCCCCTTGTAATGGGCACAGTAGGTATGCAGACCCTGGAACTCAGTGCAAGGATGGTGGTGGCTCTTCTTAATGGCTGCAGCAGGGGTACAGACCCAGAAACTCAATGCAGGAATGGTGGGAACTCCCATGATGGGCACAGCAGGTGTACAGACCCAGGAACTCAATGCAGGAATAGTGGGAACCCCCATGATGGGCACAGCAGGTGTACAGACCCGGGAACTCAGCACATGGATGGTGGCAGCCCCCATAATTGCCACAGCAGGTCAGGTGGTTTAACTCTCCAATATAAAAAATCTTAAGAATTCACTTCTTGGATGGACTGACACTTTAAACGAAATCAATTCATGCAAGATTCAGGTTTTCACATTAATGCTCACCTTAACTAAGGTCTCCTATGTTTATTTTATTTTTTCTACTGCCAGTGTTAGACTAGATGTCACAGATCACAGCAGTTTAACCGCTTCCCACCCGCAATATAGTCCAATGACGGGCGCAAGGTGGTTCTCTCGGTCTGGGAGGACGTCATATGATGTCACCGTGCATGAGTGGCTCAGATAGCGTGGCGATCGGCGTGCGCTGGGTCCCTTTGGACACAGCAGATCACCGATCCACGGAAAGAGCCAAAGATGTTGGCTCGGTCATGTGATCAGCTGTGTCCAATCACAGCTGATCAGATGTAAACATGGAAATGCCAGTTATTGTCATTTCTCTCCTCACGAGCTGTCACACTGACAGAGGAGAGGAGAGCTGGTAATCGGCTTTCCGCGGAGGGGACATCTACACTGATCATCAGGGCACTGATGATCAGTGTGCCCTGATGATCAGTGTAGCCCCAGAAGTGCCACCTGTCAGTGCTGAACAGTGCCAGATGCCAGTGCCCATCAGTGCACATCAATGCCACATATCAGTGCCTACCAGTGCACATCAATGCCACGTATCAGTGCCCATGTGAGCTGCCTTTCAGTGTCACCCATCAGTGCCAGTCTGTGCCACCTATCAATGCCAATCAGTGCCACCTATCAGTGCTGCCAATCAGTGCCGCCTATCAGTGCCAGTCAGTGCCGCCTATCAGTGCCGCCTATCAGTGCCATATATGAGTGATGCCTTTCAGTGCCCATCAGTGATACCTGTCAATGCCCATCAGTGCCACCTACCAGTGCCTCCTCATCAGTGCCTATCAGTGCCACCTATCAGTGTCCATCAGTGCAGCCTATCAGTGCCCATCACTGCAGCCTCATTAGCGCACATCAGTGAAGGAGAAAAATCACTTATTTACAAGATTTTATAACAAAAACTAAGAAAAAACAGGGTTTTCTTTCAAAATTTTCTGTGGTTATTCCTTTTGTTTAAGAAAAAACCCGAGGTGATTGAATACCACCAAAATAAAGCTCTATCTGTCACAAAAAAAGTATAAAATGTTCATATAGATACAGTGTTGCATGACTGCGCAATTGTCATTCAAAGTGTGACAGCACTGAAAGCTGGAAATTGGCCTGGGCAGGAAGAGGGTATAAGTGCCCGGTAGGCAGGAAGGGGGTAGAAGTGCCCGGTAGGCAGGAAGGTGGTAGAAGTGCCCGGTAGGCAGGAAGGTGGTAGAAGTGCCCGGTAGGCTAGCAGTTAAAGACCTTTCTACCCATTTCCTGACAGATTTCAACCAGTAAACAATTCATAAATCAACCAGAAGACATGACACAGTGGGCTTAAAGTGACCCAATGGTCACCCAGTCATCTCTATCCCGGGGACACCATTTTTGCTTGTGCTCTGGCTGGTTGCAGAAAAGACAGGTGATATCTTGGTCAATACGGAGATCATGTCTACCCTCTGTATGGCCCATTCATACTTGTTTGAAGCCTCCACCCCTTTTGTAGGATTGACTCAGACTCTATGCTAATCCAGTCATATCACTTACATCTTCCAATGTGGTATTTTCCTTTTGGGTGGCATTTTGGGGACCCGTGGTGGGTGCAGGCTATGTCTATCACCTTGGCCTTTGCTGACTATGAAGTCATGTAAATTTTCATTATCAAAGCGTGGATCCTGAGGAAGCAATTACACTGCAAAACTCCTTGATCCTTTTAACGCTATTAATATATGTGTCTTTATATATTTATTGTACGTGTATTACCAACATGGCCATAGATACTTACTGGCGTGTAACTTTTGATGTAGTTGCTAAAATAAAAATTTTTGTATTTTAACTTCTTGTATGTACATCTATTAGGGTACATTTATAATCCCACCATTTTAACTTCTCCTTGTTAGTCTGGGGAAGTCTACATAGAACATTGCTTACATTTTGGGGTTGGTGCCTTAATAGGTCAATTTATATAGAGCTCCGCCCTCACACATTGCATATTTTCCAAATGTACATTTTTTTTTCAGCAGACCAATTCATGGAACAATCTCCCACATGGGAGTGTAATTTTCAGAAGAAATCGACCACCAGCCTAGTGAGCTTCTGCATTATTGGTCTTGAACCTTAACCTACCAGAAATGTATGACCAGAGGCGGACTGACAACTCATGGGGCCCCCGGGCAATAGGGGATCATGGGGCCCCTGTGTCCTTGCCCAAACTCTCAAAAATGCCTATGAAAAAGGTACCAGGGGCATCTCAAGGGGCCCCCTACTGACCCCGGGCCCTAGGACAGTGTCCGAGATTCCAAATGGTCAGTCCGCCCCTGTGTAAGACTATAGGACATGTGCAGGGGCGGACTGACAGCTCTTGGGGCCCCCGGGCAATAGGGGATCATGGGGCCCCTGTGGCCTTGCCCAAACTCAAAAAAGCCTATGAAAAAGGTACCAGGGGCAACTCATGGGGCCCCCCACTGACCCCGGGTCCTCAGGCAGTGTCCGAGTTTCCAAATGGTCAGTCCTCCCCTGGACATGTGTGTCCAGTTGATATTATTAGACTACATGTGGACCTTTCACTACTTCCTTGAGGTCTTCAACAGGTTTAAAGCAGACCTCCTTATACTGTACATCATGCCTTAAACTGACCATTCTTTCGTCAGGTCTCTCTATGATGACGTTGGCCTATCTTTCATACTTCAGAGAGTTACATTGAGGTTATGATGTCTGGGACACTCTCTGTACTACATGATCATCAGCCCAAGCTTCTTGTTTGTGCTGAAGACCAAGCTGGACTGACTGGATCTGTCACTGGTCGTAAGTGGGTGGTTGTGTGGGTGTGTAGGGAGATACCCCTCCAGATGTGCCCAGTGGTGGATACTAGCAGTAAACCCTCATAGGGTTTGGGCTGCTGCCATTCTGGTATGGTCTTAAGGTTGTTTCCACAAGTAGACTTGGAATACTAGGAAAGAAGGAGCACCCAATGTCCAAAGGAATGCACTTATGATGGTAGATTAAGAAGCACTTATTGAGAATACCGACCAGTACGTCAAACCAATGCATTTTGGGAGAAAAGACTTTCCCTTCTTCAGGGCTGTTGCTGCATGCTATTAAATGGGAAAGATTCCCATGCCACTTATATAGTTTTTGACTTCTCACCCAGGTGTACAGACCCAAGAATGACCCAGGCGTCAACGTCATTACTGCCCTTGGAAGGACAGCCGTCACTCGTCAGTTTTTTCTCCAAAACCTGGAAAATATATAACCAGTGTGGGAATCTTTCCCATTTAATAGCGTGTAGCAACAACCCTGAAGAAGGGAAAGTCTTTTCTCCCGAAATGCATTGGTTTGATGTACTTGTCGATATTCTAAAAAAATGCCTCTTAATCTACCATCAAAAGGGCATTATTTGGACATCGGGCGTTCCTTCTTTCCTATTATTCCAAGTCAGCCCAAGCTGCCATGGTGATAAACCTCCAGCGTGGAACCGCAGGCTGGGTTGTCCATGACAGAAGTGGCAAAACATTTTTCTGTGGGGACAGCACTGGAGACAAGGTCAGCATTTTTTCATTTGCTCATATGGCTGGCCATTCTTTAGGTGTCCACAATGAATGAGGGCCTAGCTGTTATTCACAGTTGATAAAGGTGAGACTTTATATTTATTTTAAATATAAAGAAATGTTTTGTTTCTCCTTTCTCTGCAAGAAGTCGTTGTAAGCTGCTTTTCTTACTATAATATTAATTAGAAAATGCTATAGGTGCTATAAAAGCAAAGTGCTATAATCTTTTTCTGAAATTAGACCAGCATGGCCTCACCAGACATAACGTGGCCCATTGAATAATGGTCCCACTCAATTCAGCCCAGTGTTTTATTTAAAATAGTTCTAAAGTCTAAAAGTTTTCTTTACCTCAATACATTCTCTGCATTAGGTAAAAAATTCCCTACTACCTGTCATGAACGCCCCCCACCAACCTTAAACACTTACCTTCCAGCACTGCTCCTCTCACTTTCTGGTCTCACAGGAGAAACTGAAAGCAGTGGGAGTCATAGGCTCTTGCTGCCGTCAAACTCCTGTGAGGCGGGAGCAGGGGCGTGGCCTCCAGGCAGTTTGTGTCTATGGATGCACAAAGCCATCTGTGGGACTCAATGGAAATGCTCATGGGTGGGGGGCCCATGGAACCCAGCTCACTTTGGAGAGGTGGGGAGACCCCTGTCTCAGCTCCCCATATCCCTCTTATGTGTAAGTCACCCTGTGCCTGTTAGGGGTACAGGGTGATCTGTCCTAATATTGTGTAGACATGTCTAGGAGATAGCTGGAGTGGGGGGTTGTGGATTGTTTGGTGTTACGTGGTTGCATCCCATTGTTCTATTGTTTGTCTTGCTTGGGAGCAAACTATTATGGGATGTATGTGTTTATGTGTATTAGCTTAGTGGGGGGTGTCCCCAGCAGCCCTCCCTCCTGATGGTACTCTCTGTTGGAGTTTGAATACCTGTGTGTCTCTTGTTACTAAATGTAGATTGCCCCACCCTGTGATATTATGCAGGGAGGGGGGATTGTCCCCTGAGGGTATATATCTTGTGTTTGTGTTCAAATAAACTAGTCTACCTTCTGGATTAAGTCTTGTATGGTCAGCTGTGGTCTCTGTTGTCAGTGTTCAGACGGGGAAGCGGTTTCCTAAGGGAAGTACCCAAGCCCAGACTGGGTCAGTTCCGTTACATCATGCATTGGTGCATCTTTAGCATCTGGTTTGCTACAGGAGGCACCTAATGGAGGAAGGTGACTACAGCACCGGTGGGGACTGCCATAATAGGAGGAAAGCAACTTTTCTTGTACAGAGAAGGTACAACGGTAAAAAGTGTGCCTTTAATATCGCTTGAAGGTTGACATGGCTGCTGTAGGTGCAAGATACAAAACAACAAGTGCAAAGTCCAATGTGTCTACATCAAAGGAAATATGATGCGCTAAGGCACAGGTCGTTGCCCCATTCACCCACGCAGAGTGGATGGCAGGGATGAGCAGAGGGACTTTGATGAAATTGATTTTGCTGCTGAATTACTCATTTTTCCATGGGCAAGTGGGTCCTCTCTAATATGGGTTGCTTAGACAACATTAAAAAAAAAATTAAAAAGGCTTTTAAAAGGGTGATTTTTGTATTTATTTATTTTGGATGGGTTGTATTTAGGATAGCTTACTTTAATGTAGCGTTCCTTGTAATTGTTGCCCAGGTCCAAAGTGCTGGCAGGAGAGGAGTGGCTGTGGGGATAGAGAGACAGCCAAAGAGAGAGCTGGAGGAAAGCGCTGCCCACCACCCAGGGAAAACAGAGGAAGACTAAACTGAGCTTCTGTGGATTAAGAGAAGGGCAGAGCCTGCAGGGAGCAACCATAACTTGTGGGGAATATAGGCTTCAGAACTACATAGCACAGCATTACCAGAACTCTGTGAAAGGACTGTTCCAGGACTCAGGACAGTCTCAGAGTGGACATAGTAGAATATACAGAGTTGCAGGCAGCTGTCGGGTTATTTTTCCACAGTCTCGGAATACAGAATGGCTAAGTAGCAGACATCTCCTGGATTGTGAGAAGGCCACTGTTGAGACTGGTGCCATTGCCTCATTATGAAGAGGACATCACTGCAGCTGACATCCCTGAGCCCCGGATGGAGAGCGGAAGGAGAAAGGTCATCGCCCTAGGAGTTGGTGAGAGGCTGCTGGCCATACCGTACCATACCCTACCT